TAATTTAACAGTGATTTGAACAACTCAATATCAGATTACTTTTGTTTAATCAGTTACAGAACACATTTCCATTTTTTTAAATAAACCTTAAATGACTTATCTTTTACCCAGCCTCTCTCAGCTCGGGGTTGAGTAAAGAAGAGGGAGATACATGCCTGAAAAAGACTCAATAAGAGCAAGTGTTAAAGGAGCCCGAGTGCCCTGACTGTCCCACTTTCTTTTCCAGCTCCCAGTTTGTGGCCTGGGGAAGCAGTAGAGGGCAGCCCAAAGCTTGGGATTCTGCACCCATGTGGAAGACTCAAAAGAAAATCCTGGCTCCAGAGATTGGATCAGCTCAGCTCTGGCTATTGCAGCAACTTGGAGAGTGAACCAGCATATGGAAGATACTTCTATCTGTCTCTCCTTTTCTCTGTAAATTGGGCTTTTAAATAATAATAAATACATCATAAAAAAGAAAAAAAGATACAATGATGTATAAATTGAACTTTTAGTTTGGTTTTAATAGAGTGAAAGAATTGCCTGTTTACTGTGTCCATGGCAAAGTGAGTGCTGCTATGAAATGAATGTGTGCCCTCATTTTGGTTGTTCTTTGTGGACTGTATGCGACCTTGATATTTTGTACTTTAAGTGTCACCAGCCATTATCCCCATTAAAAGTTCTGATGATCCGGGCCCGGCAGCATGGCCTAGTGGCTAAAGTCCTCACCTTGAATGCACCAAGATCCCATATGGGCACTGGTTCTAATCCCAGCAGCTCCACTTCCCATCCAGCTCCCTTCTTGTGGCCTGGGAAGGCAGTTGAGGATGGCCCAATGCTTTGGGACCCTGCACCTGTGTGGGAGACCTGGAAGAAGTTCCTGGTTCCTGGCTTCAGATCCGCGCAGCTCCGGCCATTGCGCTCACTTGGGAAGTGAATCATCAGATGGAAGATCTTCCACTCTGTCTCTCCTCCTCTCTGTATATCTGACTTTGTAATAAAATAAATATATCTTTAAATAAAAAAGGTCTGGAGTTCCAACCGTATATCCTGGGAGTCCTTTGGGGTGGAATCTGTCTGGAGACTTGTACTATAGCCATGCTAAAGCCATTTTGAATATAGACCTAGGGGACAGTGAAAAATCCCCCAGTTGGCTAGATGCTTGGGAAAGAGGTTATGAAACTAATCACATGCTTAGCTTCAACTGTTTCTAGCAACTGTTTCAGAATGTGATTTATGTTGTATCTGCCGACATCTTGTTACTAATTACCTATGCTATTGTTCATATGTTGGTTACTATTGTTGATATGGTGGTTTCTCAAGAACAATTGGTCTTGAGACCATGGCCTGAATCCCAGTTTTTCCTTCCCTCCATGAGCCTTAGTTACTAAAGAATATAAAAACCCTCGGTTGAAATCAATAAACTGACAGCTTGATCAGACATCCTGTCTTGCTGTCCATTCTTCGTGTCTCTTGTCCAGTCATTCTCTCCTACGTTGGTTGCGGCCCACGTTGACTGTCCTGCCTGATGGAACAAGAATCAGCTTCCGGTCTTAAAGAGGATGCAGGAGAAATGAAGAAAGAAGGCAGGACTACCAGATGCTTACTCTCAGGAATCTAATATCAAATGAAAACTTAGATATTAATTGTAACTATCAATTTGAACAAATTGGGAAATTTTTTACCATAAGGTCCAATGCCTTCTGTAACTATTTATTTATTTATTTATCTATTTATTATAATGTTATGCTACCGTTTTATAGGCCCTGGGATTTAACTAACTGCCTCCAAAGTTCCAACCCCACACTGAGTTCCCCAATATTATTACAGTCTAGTGTTATATATATAGTCATATGTCCATCATTACAGGCATGGACAATGATGGAGAGCCCAGCTTCCTATTGTTAAGTATGGTTAGTTTCATTGTGAGTTCATCTTTGATCTGAAAGTAGAAATGTATCCTGCATTGTATCCTCATATCTGGACATGATAGTCTCTATTAGACAGTTATTATATATCCCCTTAAATGAACAACCACAATGTAAAATCAAAAATAGGAAAAAAAATGAAATTTACAACACCATGAATTTAAGTTATACACTACGGATGACTAGTGTGTCACCAAAGAAATCAAAATCAAAAACTGCCTTGAAGAAAATGATGCTACTTTATGACTTTTTTAATGAGGAGAAAATGTTTTTAAAAGATGAATCTTAAAAATAAAATCACCATCCATGAGATATAGCTTCCACTGAACTTTGTTGGTCTCCTGGCAACAATTATTTGGTTTTGTTTTTATAATCCAGTCTATCTATCTATAACATTCATTTGATGACTTTAATTCATATAGTTTTATGGTTACTTTGCAGAGATTGTCATTTGCCCAGAATCCTGGCCTCCCGCCCCCCACAAACAGGTGCTGATTGAGGTTAACTGGCATTGTTGACCTTGCCATCCCTAAAGGCAAAATACTGCAGAGCCTGCTAAAAGACAGATAAAATGCTATGTCATTTAAAAAAAAAAAAGATTTATTTATTTTTTATTGGAAAGTCAGATATACAGAGAGGAGGAGACACAGAGAGGAAGATCTTCCATCTGATGATTCACTCCCAAAGTGAGCACAAGGGCCAATGCTATTCCGATCCGAAGCCAGGATCCAGGAACTTCTTCCAGGTATCCCACACAGGTGCAGGGTCCCAAAGCTTTGGGCCGTCCTCAACTGCCTTCCCAGGCCACAAGTAGGGACCTGGATGGGAAGTGGAGCTGCTGGGATTAGAACCAGCGCCCATGTGGGATCCAGGTGCATTCAAGGTGAGGACTTTAGCCACTAGGCCATGCTGCCAGGCCAAATGCTATGACATTTTAACAATGGGCTGTTCATTGATTTAGTCTTCTGTTAGTTTACTGAGGTGCACATTTGCCTTTTGTTTTGCTGGGTGCTATTCCACTTCTCTGTCAAGAGAACATATTTGTATCCTTTGTATCCTTTGTAGGGCAGGTTTAGAAAAGGCACATTATTTTAACTTTTCTTTACTGTGGAAGAATTTTAGTTCATTTTCAAAGACAGGAAAACTTTGCTGGCTACATTATCCTGGGCCAACAATGTTTTTGCTCTTAGAATCTGCAATATATAATTCCATTCTCTAATGACCTATACAGTTTCCTGTGAGAGGTCTCCTGTGAATTTAACTGGAATTCTTTTATGTGTCAATTAATTTTTTTCCACGTGCACATTTAAGAATATTTTCCTTATGTTCTTTTGAAGAGAGATTGATTATCTTGTGTCATGGTAAAAGATCACTTTCGGTAACCCTGTTTTGAGTTCTGTGCTCTAAAAGTGATCCAAAGAGTCCCAAGACTTTTGGCCATCCTCTGCATCTTTCCCAGTCCATAATCAGGGAGCTGAGTTGGAAGTGGGGTTGTCAGGATATGAACCAGCACCCATATGGGACCCTGGCAGATGGAAGGCAAGGATTTAGTCACCTTATTTCTACTTATCTTTTTTTTGTTTGTTTGTTTGTTTAATAGTATGGGCAACAATGCTGACACTGCGGTATAGTTATGCAAATTTGTCATAAACCATACCCAGGATGCCTGCCACCTATTAATTGCTTTTTCTCCAGTCATGTAAACACTTGCCTAGATACAAGGCAACCTGGCCATTTATGTACAGTGCAGGTGGATTAGTCTCCCAGCTCCTGGGTTTGAATCAGCTCTGCTGCAGCTGTTGAGGCCATTTAGACAGTGAACCAATGGCTAGAGGATATTTCTTCTGTCTGAGTTTCTGTTTGTAAATCTGACTTTGCAATAAAAATAAATAAATATTTTGACAAGAGAAGAGAAGAAATTAAAAGAAATAGGAGTGGACTAGACAGTAGTCACAACCACCTGTACCCAGTCCACACCTGGTGTTTTCTTTACTTCTTTCCAGTAGAAGACCAAGTCAAGTTGCACTGGGGTAGTTGCTCCATCTGGTTTGCTGACCATGGAGGGCAGAACTGGGTGTTGTGGGCATATACAGTTCTGCCCAGGACAATCTCAGCCCTCATGTACCACAGAGGGAACAGCAACCCGGAAAATGACCCCAAAAAACTGCCATTGTCCCAGCCCTACAGCTGTGGCTTGTGTGTCTGCTAGCAAGTGCAGTGAACTAGTCACCCATTTCATTCTTACACATTGTAGTTTTTGTGGGTGTTGTATGTTACTATCGCATAGTAAAAAGCACAAAATATACATCTTTGTAAAAACTGGACTGATTAGAACATGCAAGCATCTTACTAGAATCATTCTTATCTGAAAACTAAACTAACAGCTAAGATGGAGAGGAGGGAATAGTGCCATATGATGTTATTCCACAACACATCATATCATGATAAATGTGAACATTTCAATTTTGCACACTTCACCTCAAACAATACATGAGCATGTGCAGATATTTTGCTAATTAACATTCCATCAACAGATATCTGGTATACAAATAAAGTAGATTACCAGCTAGCACCTAACAGAATGAAACATTACCTTTCGCAATACATTTAATGCAACTTAAAACATTAGGGAAACTGAAATATGCCAGTTGCAGAAAAGGCAAATTTATATGATAGTTAAAAGAAGAATACTACAAATTATAACAATGAAATGTAAAACTAGTATATGCACTGTAAAAATATACATGGGATTAATAATACTTTAACACGCACCTCCTCCTCTTTCAACTCCATTTCTCTAGGAAATTTTTGTGTTCTTTTGTATTTCTGGAACAATGTGGACATGAAATATGGGAAAAAATAAAAAATCAGAAAGAAATTGTGAGCTGGCAGAGACAACACCCAATGAATGAAATTACCATTCATTTGCCTTGTGCACAGAGAAATTAATGATTAAAAAGTAATGTGAAAAAAGACAGTGAACAGACTAAGCAAGCTCTCTTTCCTCCTCTGATAAATACATCATGGTGTCTAGCTCTGAGACTTGAGAGATGAAGTCGCTTATACTGTTCAGCCCCAACACTGAGTGTTCCACTATCATTTATGGAACAACAGTCTTTTCAGAGCCCTCTTCATGTCTATGTTCCTCAGACTGTAGATGAAGGGGTTCAGCATGGGAGTGACCATGGTGTACATCACCGAGGCTATTGCAGTTGAGGCTGAACTTAGGGCAGCACTGGCACTGAGGTATGCACCTAAGCTTGTTCCATAAAATAGAGATATGGTCAAGAGATGAGAGGCACAGGTAGAAAAGGTTTTATACTTGCCCTGAGCTGAGGAGATGGCATGGATGGACGAGGTGATCTTGGAGTAGTACAGATTCATAGACAGGGGACCTCCTGCCAGCAGCACAGCTTCAAAACCGAACATGAGGTCATTGAGAAAGGTGTCAGAACAGGCTCTGTGGACCACCTGATTCAACTCACAGGAAAAGTGGCGGATTTCTAGGTGTGTGCAGAAGTTCAGCCTCAGCACCAGTAAGCTATTTAACAAGGCATGCAAAACACCAATGACCAAGCACAGCAGAACCAGCTGCTCACATAGCCAGGGGGTCATGCTGACTGTGCAGTGCAGGAGGTGACAGATGGCCATAAACTGGTCATAGGCCATCATGGCCAGCAGAAAATCATCCAATCCTGCAAAGATTATCAAGAAGGACATCTCTGTGATGCAGTCTGCATATCTGATGGATCTGTTTTGCATCTGGATGTTCACCAAAATCTTGGGGACAGTGGTGGAAGTGAAGCAGACATCCACCAAGGACAGTTTGGCACGGAAGAAGTATATGGGTCTGTAAATGTGGGGGTCAGAAAGGATGCCCAGGATAATGAGCAGGTTCCCATTTACAGTGGCCAGGTACATGGAGAGGAACAGCGCAAAGATGAGAAGATGTAGGGTTGGGTTTTCTGAGCATCCCAGGAGGAAACGTTCTGAAAGCTGAGTTTGGTTTATCAGTTTTATGGAGTGCATTTCACTATCTGGAAGAAGCATTTTCACTAGAATCATGAAATCACAATAGACTTATCTCATAGAGATGAAATTTAAAATGCATATTTTCCCATTCAAAATGTGCCTCACACATTTCGAGATGGCTCCAGTCCAATTTGTTTCTTCACAGTGCGGTCACTGAATTTGAATTCAGTTGCACTCTCAATCCTTCCCTTAAGCATCAAATACATCTTGTGTTTAATGCAGTGTTCTTTGATCAGTTTAGAACCATCTTTTCCTCAGTGGTTACAAGCTCTCCACTGAATTTCCAATTGCATATATGAACTAGAAACCAGGGGAAGATGTGTGGTTCCAAAGTTCTTAAGTGATTATGGGATTCAGTTCTGCTTATGAAAATAAAGTGATCTTCCAACACATGCTGTAACTGAAAGCAGAGGTGTTATGACTGAGTAAATGACTCAATCATGCTAAACAAAGAGAAATCACCAAGCATATCAAATGATAAGAGCAGCTTAACTTGGAACAGCTTGGCTACATATATAACCAAGACTCAGTTTGCAGCAATAAATTTTTGTAGAATTAGTAACAGTTTGGCTTGAATCCAGAAGGTGTTTATGATTTTGACAACAGAGAAATATAAGCTTTTACATGTCCTTTTCACTTTTACTGAAAAACTCTACCAAAATAAATGGGGAAATGAATCTAACAGATACATAATCTCTGTGCATGACTTTTGCAAAAGAAAGAGTTCTCCAAATTTTGATGACCTCTCCCAAGTATGGATAAGATATTTTTGTGTCAGAGATTTTGCAGCATAACAGCTTACTTTCTAAATACATTTTTCATACAACTGAAGTACACTCAAGTACACAGCAAAGGACTCCATGGAAGAAAATAAGCTGTTGACAATGACTAATCTTTGTAGGTTAAGAAGACAATAAAGAGACAAAACTCTCTCACCTGGTAGCACACCAGGAAAGCCCTGAAAGTGTAGGAGAAAAGACAAGTGGCTGGAAACCATCGTGCATATCCAACAAATGATGTAATGACTATGATGCAGGTGTCTTTGAAAGAGTTCTTCTTACTGCACCAATAAGTTAACATTAAATCATGTGAGAGCAGTGTGTGAGAGAAGACAGAAGACCCTGACACATGAGTTTTCCAATAACTGCTGCCATCAGGATTTCCATTCAAGCTTTTACTCTCTGCTGGCCATTTCCTGTCAACCCTAGAATAGTCTGTTGCACCCCTTCTTCTTTTTTCTTTCTTTTTAAAGATTTATTTTACTTTTGTTGGAAAGGCGGATATACAGAGAGGAGAGACAGAGAGGAAGATCTTCCGTCCGATGATTCACTCCCCAGCGTCCACAACGACTGGAGTTGAGCCAATCCAAAGCCAGGAGCCTCTTCCGGGTCTCCCACGCGGGTGCAGGGTCCCAAAGCTTTGGGCCATCCTCGACTGCTTTACCGGACCACAGGCAGAGAGCTGGATGGAAAGTGGAGCTGCTGGGATTGGAACCAACAACCATCTGGGATCATGGGCGTGCAAGGCGAGGACCTTAACCACTGTGCCACTGCACCAGGCCCTGGTTACACCTCTTGTTAATTCTCAATCTGAATGGCAAGAATGGTGTTGCAGTGTGCAGAAGTTATTTCATGGCCAGCAGTTGTAATCATCCCATCTTTAACCAGTTTCATGGGGTAAATAACCAAGCTCCTTTGCACTGGAAAAGTGACAAAACTTTGCTCTACCACTTATACCCCCAAATGGAGAATCTCTCCTCTACTGGCTCAAATTTCCAAATGCTGCAAAGGTGCCTATAGGTATCCTAGGCAATTTATGCTTCCCATTGTCTCTTAGATAATCTTTCCATAACTTCAGTACCAGCAATGATCATTGCCTTAGGAGTCTAAATTTCTCTTCTCTTTGATAATCGCTAAAAATGCATTCATTAGTTAAATATAAAAGAACTCCTGACCTTCCTGGAAGTGCTAGATAGATTAATTCAGTTTTTGCTTCATCCCAGGTAATGCTGTCTTTGTTCACAGCCTGGTACCCCTCCTGTCATGACTGCCAGGCTCACATATATGGGAACTGTGGGTAGAAAGTGTTTATGGATGCCAAAATTCCTCCCGGGATGGTGGATGCTACAGATTGAAGCTCCGTCCTAGTAACAGCAGAGGGCAGGGGGGAAGCACTGGTCCCTGAGCCAGACTCAGGATCCCAAAAGCAGCAACTAGACTGCTGCTATCCCAAGGTTTCAGAGTCTGAGTAACCACAGCAGAGGAGCTACTTACAGCTCCTGGCACCTGCTCATTAGGCAGCTCCCTGACCTCTAGGCACCTGCTGGCCCCAAATATCTCTGGTCATCACACAAAGCCGTTTTCTTTCAAGTGTTTCCCAAAAGAACATGATAGACTCAGCTGAAACCTCTTTCTTCTTTTCCTGCTCTGTGGAAGTCGCAAATAGCTGCCATTTAGTTTCTCACATTAAAATGTTTTGATTAGTGAGACAAGCCAGTTCCCAAAGAAAATTATTATGTCCTTCTCCTACTAAGATAATTTATACTGAATACAAAAATATTATAGAAATGGAAAGAGCATCCTGAGATTTGACCATCGTTTCTACTGCTGGGAAACTGATTTTTCAAAGATTTACTTGGTGAATTTGATGGTTAAATGTGTGCTAAGCCTGTGACTAATACATTGTAATTAATATTTTATGACCTATTTCACAATAATTTATTAAATATTTAAAAAACAATTAGTTATGTTATTCAATGCTTACATATGATAATACTTAAAGAGATACAAATGCAACTATCATGATTTGGATATTACACAATATTCACACATATTAATTTTCATACACCCAAATAAAAGGAAATATTTTTCAAATGTCTTTTTAGGATAATTAATTTAAATAATGCAAATATATATTAAAAATATAGGTAAAATCACACTATTCAATGGGCCATCTCAGACAGTCCTATAGTGCCTGGAGACACACTCAAGACGTGAGGCTAAGAGTACCTTTTGGAGACTCCCTTGCTGGCTGCTGCTTCCACTGGTGGATTAGAGAGCTGGGACTGAGTGTGGGACATTTAGGGTGTGGGACTGGCTGGGCTGGCTAACATACTCACTAGCAAACACAAGAGCTTTAAAGGGTGCAGGCCAGCTGTGCTAGGACACAGCCCAGCTGACAAGTGCCAGGATTAGATGTGAGTCCTTTCAGGGAAGATTACATGAGCCATTGTTAAGTACAAAATCTGGTACTGGGAACATGTCTGGCAAGGGAAACTGTGGGCACTTCCCTGCCAGGCTGTACCTGTTGCTACGTCACAGCACCCATTTACTTCAGATGCAAATTGAGGTTGGGCACAGTATGTCCATCGGTTGGTGTAGGTGATAGACTAAATTGACCCTTTCCTGGATAATGCATAAAAGAATCAAACCTAAAGTCACCCTGGGTGAGGTTTCTTGGAATACTCCCCAACTAGATTATGGAACTGTAACCCTGGAGTGCAGGTGTTGGGACTGTGTCTCCTCAGTTTTGATGCCTGAGTTCTGGATATCAGGGGAGACATTGTAGCCAGCTCTTGTGAGCCAGCGTGCCATGTTGAATGTGTTCTCAGAGGATGGCTCCTGGATGCCCTATTCCAGACAGACCTGTCCTATGTCAGAGGATGTCCTATTCCAGACAGACTTTTCCCAAGAACAGCCCAGATGCATGCTGATGTGCTGTGGCCTTGCCCAATGTTGTCTGCATACAATCCTGACCCTCACATTCACTAGTGTGAGCTTTAGCCCAGCAAGGCTGTCCCCTGAGTTTCCGTACTAGGCCTGTTACAATTTCCTGGGACTTGCTTTTGTTGGTAGGTGCTTCAACTGATCTGAAACTGGCATATCCATGGACTCAATTCAGCTGGGCATAGCACACATCCTGTCCAGGCCCTCCTGTGTGCCAGCATGTGATCAGGTCTGACCCAAACAAATGCTGATGTGTGCTGCCTGTCCTGACCTGTCTCTAGCCCCAATTCTAATGCTTCAATTCTGATGCAGAGTTGTAGGGAAGTTCCCTATGATGTCCTACCAGGTCTGATCCCAGTCCCGGATTTCACATGTAACATCAGTGGCATTGACCCTGCTAGACATGATCTGCTCTTTGTCCTGGCCCTTGCGTGTGCCGGTCCCAATTTGTCTCCTCATGTTCCAGCTCCCATGAGTGTCAGGTAGGTTTTTTTTCAGATGAGTTTGTGGTCAGGATTTCTTGGACTTTTCCATCCCCAGCTCTCCATGTAAAGCAGCAGGTACAGTGACCCCACAGAGGTGAGCCGAGAATGTACTCTGCTGCTGCCTAGTGGGTGACCTGAGTTCTTGCTGACCTAGGTTTATTTGTTTGTTTGTTTATTTATTTATTTTTGTGGCTCTTGGGTTCCTCTTCCCCTTCTTCTTCAGTCTGTGGTCTTCTGGGCTCTTTAAAACAGGGCCATATTTATGATAGCTCTTGGTTCTCACTTCTGTGGGGTTCTCGTGTCCCTGGGATTGGTGCAGCCCAGTGCTGGGGAATTCCAGTTCCCAGGTTCACCCAGGCTCTTTGTTTCTGTGCCTAGTCACCCTCTCTGACCCATATGCCCAGACCTAACCCTGCGGTGAATTGCTCAGTTCAGGCACCTTTCATTGTGTTTTGTTCCCTAGATCCACCTGTCCCTCATCTCCTGCTTAGGGCGGGCACTTCTCTGTGTTAGCAAATAACCGAGATTCCCTCCCTCAACTTCTCTGGCCAAATTTCACAGCCAGGGCACCCTTCTTGTCCTTCTCAGGTTGCTCATCCCAGTCTGTAGCATCTGTTATACTGCTGTGTGCATCTTTCTCAGTCCTGGCAGCACTGGGATTCTCCCACATTGTTCCCTGTGGTTTGTTTCCTCTCTGGCTCACTTCAGACTGCTTCCATCCCTAACATTTAGGACCTTAGGTCATATTGGTCTAACTCTGTCAGCCATCATCAAGCCCATAATGCCCTACAGAATACAACCCTAAATC